TTCATTTGAACTATAAGGACTGTGGAAAACATAGGATTAGATGATCTCTGTTCCTTTTGGTCCCAATATTCTGATTGTAGCCCAATTACCATCTTACTTATGAAGAGTTAGGGCCAGAGAGGTGAAATTTGCTTGAGGTTACAAAGATAATAAGTAATAGGAGCAGAACTAGTTTCCCCACTCCTAATCCAGTCCTTTCCCCACTATTCCATTAGGCCTCACAAATGTTATTTTTTTTTTTATCACTATAACCTCTGTATTTTTTTTTTTTTAAAGGTGAAATTTCTCCCTTATCTAACATGCAGACTTCCTCAGAAGATATAAGTGGTCCCAGGGGCCAGGTAGAAAGCATTTTTTTTTTAAATTTAAAATCAACTAATTAACATATAGTATATTATTAGTTTCAGAGGTAGAATTTAGTGATTCATCAGAAAGCATTTTTTAAGACCAATCTGAATTTAAGCTTTACCAATATACTCTTCATCTGTGTTACTAGTGCCTGGTACATAGTAGGTGCTCAATAAATGTACATCGAATAACTGAATGAATTTCTCTTTTGGCAAGTTTTTAAGGACATGTGCTCCAAGTAGTCAACAAGTCGCTCAGAGACTTTTCTATTTCTGTGGGCAAATGCAGATTATGAGAAGCCCTTTTGAATTATTATAGACTTAAAAGAACTCTATTTTTGCTTTTGAAGATGCTTATTTGATTTTAGATTGTCTTGTCCTGTGACTCTATAATGCTCATCCCCTCCACTGGTTAACTTAGCATACAGAACAGTAAATGTAGTCTTTTTATTAGGCAGACATGTGTGCTCTTCCAGCTAATGATGAAATTGACTGAAAACCCAGCATATCTTATGCATTATTTTTGAAAAACCCCCATTTGTACACATTTGTCCTAACACAGCAATTATTGTACAGTTTTTCATTGTCATTTTATCTGTACCAAGTATTTATTTTTAATTATTAAATAAAGTCTGTTAGGACCGTGGCTCAATAATTTAAAATGATTTCAAGTTAATACTATTTAAGGCAAAACAAAACAAATGAATAAACAAACAAAAAGCAGAATCAGACCTATAAATACAGAGAACAAACTGATGGTTGCCAGAGGGAAGGGGTGGGAGGATGGGTAACATAGGAAGGGGAGGGGGAGATACAGGCTTCCAGTTATGGAGTAAGTCACAGGAATAAAAGGCACAGCATAAGGAATATGGTCAGTGATATTGTAATAGCATCATATGGTGACAGATGGTGGCTGGCTATACTTGTGGTGACAAAGCATAATGTATAGAGAAATTGAATCACTACATTGTACACCTGAACTAATGTAACATTGTGTGTCAACTATATTGAAATAAAAACATTAAAAAAAAGATGGGGCATCATGAAAAGTTATCAATAATAACTACTAATTTATCTTTTACTAAGACTCAGACATGGATGACATTCACAATAAATACTCAAAATTTTTCAAGTGAAGCTCATTAGACCCAGAAGGTAAACCTTTGCTATCTTTCTCCTCTAACTTCCGCCCTGGACAGTTCCTGAGCAAAGCCACATGTGTTCCTTTTCCCTGGATATTACTTTAGTCTATTCAGCTAACACTTGTTCGATTTTATCGGTCCTGCAAACTTTTCAGACACCTTTTTCAGTAGCGCTTTACACTTTTATCACATCTTTGTACCTAAATGGCCTTTTGGGGGGGGGGTGGTAAATCCCTACTTTCTTTTGTGTTCACACTTGGAATCAAAGGCAAGTGTACACTAGCTCACGTTTCTAAAAGAACAAATTTTGAGGCATGTATCCCTTAAGGCTCAAGTTCATGTATGTGTTACTTCAAACTGCATTGTTGAAATGATTAATGACATTGCTCTTTGCCACATGAAAACAAATCACAGCTCCTGGGTTGGTATGTACCAAGGCCTGTCCCGGGCCTTTACTTCCTCTTCTCTTGGACTAAAGCACACCTGCAAGCACATCCTTCTGGCTTCCTCTTTACTTGTTTCTGAGTGCTGCACTGGTGAAACAATATTCATCTTTTTTGGGGTTTGTAGATATGACTGAAGGTGATATGTTGGTAATATACCTAAGCACTCGATACCTGACTATGACTGTTATAAAGAACAAGTGTAACTAACTGCAATGAAAGGAACACTAATCAGAAAAACATAGTTTCTTGGAAATTTTAAGTATTTTATCAGATACTAAATACTTTCTGATAAAATACTAAATAAGTATTTTATCAGAAAGATCGAGGATGCCAGAGAGTAAGGCTATAAACAGCTGCAAGATTATCAAAATATATCTCTGAGGAGGCTTTTATGTTTCTTGATACCAAAATGTGTACTTCTTCAAGATGATGTACATCAGCAAATTCAATTACAAACTACCATTCCTTTTTATAAGTGGCTTTCCTCTTCTCAGCACTAAGATTCTACCTTTCTTCTCTAATTGTAATTTTGGAAATGATTTTACAAGGTAAACATTAAAACTAATATGGGGTGGAGTATTTTATCTATTATTTTTTACCGTCCAAAGGGTAAAAAGACATGAGAACAAATGAAAGTCTGTTGTCAACTATTATATTGTATATATATACAGATTTATATTACATTGTATATATATTATATTATATTGTCATTATGTTGCCCATCATAATGTGGGTGATCAGCTGATTTCCCTAATCTCCAACTAGTTTTCTTATTCCTGAATAGACAAAGTAAGTTTGTCTTACTTTTTCTAATGAAGAAAACAAAACAGTTAAAAATGCAAATTCTTCAGACTGCCTTTTAATGAATCCAACTTTCCAATGTTAAAAATAACGGAACCAAAAGGTATTTTCAAGCAGCCTTATAACCCAGCTATATATTAGGTATAAGGAAATTGAATCCAATTTGAAATGAATTTTAAAACATAGCACACAAACATCACAACTCCCCAGAGCACAATACAAAATAGTACTCTAAGGAATATAAACATTTAGTATATAAGAATGTGACTATGTAAGAAAAAAGTCTCTCCAGTGAGTTAAAATTTACTTGCTAAAGATTATTTATTGCACAAATAAAGCAGATACTATTATTTTCAACTTCTAAATTCAGTACCCAGTCAAGTACATTTTCTCAAACTAAAGTTCTATAGCATTACAGTATGAGTAAACTTCTTGTTACTGAGTTAGGATAGGGAAAACTTCATAACTTATAAAACAAATTCTTTAGACTTCATGAAAACATTTCACAGATCCTACAAGGCACACATCATTTTTCCTATCTTAGTAAGTACATTTAATTACTTCATATTTGGAAAAGACAAAGCTGTACAGAATACAAAAAGTGTACATTTCATCCATTAAACAAATTTACAACTTTTATAATTAGTTATAATAGTAGAACCTACGTAACATTCACATCTAAAGAATTATCACCCAGTTTAATGGAGTGGGCAAAAAACTGTGCTCATTTATTTAATAAGACTAATAAAAACACTTTCTATTTCACAGTAGACCAGTTAGTATCCTGGAGCTCATACTGGAAAGTAAAAAGGTTTGGGCAACATCGAGTCTCACTGGGCTTACTGTTAAATAATTCCTTGAAAGATGAAGGATTCTGGGGGATAAGATCATAGGCTATGCCTGGAAAGATCCAAAAACATGCAGAGCAACTTTGTTCATTTTCAGAAACATTCTTGAATTAGGCAATGAGTTAGACTCAGCAAGTCTAATCCAAAAGGACAATTTGGAATCTTAGAGCTGGAAAAAAGATCTCAGAGATCATCTATCCCAAGGTTTTCAAAATATGTCCCCTGGTATACTAAGACTTCATGGAGGAGAGTCAAGGTTCTGTAAATCTGACTTGAATTAAAAAAATTTTTTTGAAAAAAAATTAATTTAAAAAACAACTCCCATCATACAACTAAATTCCAATATCCTGGATATCACCAATGCATTTATACATGTTTTTATTGGTTGACTTTATAATATTTATTATGGTATATAAAGTTCACATAAGGAAATTTATATTAATAAAATATGACTTTCATATAGAGGGGTAGTGTGTGTGTGGGGGGGGAGGGGTATAGCATGTGTGTGCAGGGCTTCTGAGTAAGATTTTACCTGGAAAAAAAAAAAGTTCTATCTGAAATAAAATATGAGAACACCACAGATGAAATCTCAGTTTCTAAAGGAACCTACAAAGCAGCAGAAGGGACTTTTTTAAGGTCACACAAACCATCAAGAGCATTGCCAGGTTGATATGAGAGAGCCCCTGGTACCCTGCCTGTTATAAACATCCATACTGAGTGTTTAGCTATTTGGTACTGAGCTGTCCCCATCATAAATGTCAACCAATTAGTTATCAATATTTTTTGGGTAAAATCAAGCTACCTTTGGTCAGACATTTTTTATAGAAATGAATTATTTAATTTGCATGCCTATTAAAATCCTAGTATCCAAAAATTCTGCCATCAATAAGCAGCAACTTAAATTGTATACTTTGGTATTTTGGAAAATAGTAATATCTGCAACCTACCAATAAAAAGTCAGAAAAGTTTCATGGAATGTTAACATACCTTTTAAAGGAGACATCAGGTTCTAGTTTTATTATATGCTAAAATGTTAATGCTTAACATAAAACAAAAGTTTTACCTTATAAGCAAAATTTTAAAAAAATGAAGTATCACTGAAAATCGTAATTCCATTATGACTATTCTCTCTCAGAGTATTTCAAAGGAAGTACAGTGAAACAGCAGAAAGCCAAATTATCTTCTAATTTTCAGAGGTGTTTATTGTACATATGTTTAAAAGGCTATAGCCTATTTTCTCTCTTAATAATATTAGAAATTTGAAGACTTGGAGACCTCAGAAAGAAGCCTTCAAGTTAAGAAAATAAAAGCACCATGAACCAATATTGAATGATTTATCATAATTTGAAAATGTAAAATCAGGATCTGTGATGAAGAAAAATTTTCTTCTGAAACTCCAAGATGCATGAACATTATCAAAAGCTACTTAGAACAGTTTCCCAGCTGTGGGAAAGCTTTTCCAGAACAGCCAAGATTCCCCAGCAGAAATCCATTTACAAGGCAAAATCATGCCCAGCTTTATAGTCCTCACCCAAATTATACAGCATAAAAAAAAAAAAAAAGACTTGAGTAAAAAACATGTAGTTCCAAAACACACTGCTAAAGTTATGAAATAATTGTGGATCATTTCAAGTAAAAATTATTAAAGGAGCAATAATTAACCACAAGGGGGCATACACACTCCTTAGATTCCAGCAGAAAGACTAATTTAAGTAGTAACATGCACTTTGATGTATTCTACATTTTCAGTCACTTCAAATTTTCTCTCAGATGGCTACAATTTTTTGACATTCAAGGTTTATTTTAAACCTAACTAAATAGATTCCAGAATACTCCTGCCCTGAAAAACAGTGTTTCAGAAGTCTCTGGAAGTATTGCTGTTCAGCAAAGAATTCAAGAGCAATTAGTTCTAATATATATTAGAACAGATAAATAACAGAAAAATATGGTCTAAAACACTAGCAAATTTTAGTTTACTATAAATGGAAGACATGGAAAGTCTATCAAAAGAAATGGAACAAATTGTCAGAATAGCGAAAATAAGAGGGTAGGGAAAATTGATGTCTGTGTCTGTTCAACAATATCCCTGCATTCTTCTCCCATGACCAAAATGTTTGTAGCTCATAATAGCAACAGAAGACTTTCACTCCAAGGTCATGGCCTATGGGGCTGGCCTGCCTCATCGGCCATGTTAAGAATATAGTTAGCCATATCATCTTCAGTGGGTGCATCTGACACCACCCAAGATTCATTTGCTCCAGTCATCTGTAGGCGACAAATAGGGCAATTCCTGTGTCGATCACTCCTATCAGAGAAGTCAAATAAAGAACAATTTTTCTTGTTCTTCTTTTAAAAAAATAGGTGTGTTTGAAAAGTAATACATGTACATGGTTTAAAAAAAAGTAAACAGCAATAAAAGTATACAGTATCTCTTTCCACCCCAATCTTTAATTCTTACCCCAGGGGCAACTACTGTTAGTAGTTTCTTACATATTCTTCTAGAAATAGACTAAGTATGATTAAACTTGTGTGTATATATATATATTACTGCTTTTTTTTACTTGCCAATATATCTTATAGGCCATTTGTAGCAGTACATGTTAGAGCTATCGGTTCTTTTTAAACATAACACTGTATGGATAGGCCATAATTCATTTAATTAGTCTCCTGCAGAGGACATTTAAGTTTTCCCCTATCTTTTGCAGCTACAAACAAGGGAATGGAAGCTTTCAAGGTTTAAAATAGAAGATGAACCTTACATGCAGAATAATTTTTCTGACAGGGAAAGAACTTATATATGATCACTTGAATGAGATTATGTTTTCCGAAGGGATTTTTTTTTTGTCTCGACAAATATTATTTTGGAAATTTCAAAAATACCATATTTGATCCAGAAACATGTCATGCAGGGAAAATGTTTTTCTCTTCATTTCTCAGTGAAATCTGAGACTAAAGTAATTAAATTGTATCAATTACTCTTTGGCTTTTGTACAAAAATTTAGAAATCTGTTCCAAAAACTAAATGTGAAAGCTAGAGCTGGCATATATTATTCAGGTTCATTTCTGGTTCCTCAGAGATATTTTATTAAGATAATTATATGTTCTCTTCTGTGCACAAAAGTCACAATTTTAAGAGTCAACTTCTGCTTCTGGCCAGTAGGGACCAGATTTATCTTTCCACTTAATTAAAACACTGGAAATATACATGAAACAAGGCTTTCAACACTGGACATCATCGACAACACAGGACAATCATCCCTGAGGATGAGAAGCAAAGAAGGTGAGCCCTATAAATTGCCAGCTTATTGCCTTGAGAGATTTTAGGCTGCGGAGCAAGCAGGAGAAGGCCAGATGGGGCCTGGCAGACTCTCTGAGTTGAAGAGACACAACTGAGACTCTCAGGAGGCTAAGACAGCTAGAGTTCACAGGGCAGAGTACTGAAGTACTTAAGTGCAGAAGGCTGCACAAAGGGAGAATTCTGGAGTCTACTGAAGGTCCCCCTAGAGTATATTCACATGTGAGGAAACTACTTGAGGCTCAGGAATCACCCAAAAGGATTTGAAGGAACAGTACCCAAAACTCACACAGGGTTTGGGATATTGCCTGCTCTCACCAGACAGAGTGGAAAGCCTCATAACTCCTGCAGCGTTGAGCAGAGTACTCTGAAGGGTCCTGCCTCATTAGTGGTGCATAATTAGCTCTCAACTAAACACTGCTCTGGTCCTGCCTAACAAATCATAAAAGCAAGACCCAAAAGGTTCAAACTGTTTCCAAGTAACTATATTCCAGAACAAAGCTCAAGGATATTTATAGGAATACAAAAATATCTAGTACCCAAAAAGGTAAAATTCACAATGTCTGGCACCCAGTCAAGAACTACCAGGCATAAAAAGAAACAGAAAAATACAACGCCAAATGAAGAGGAAAAAAAATCAAAACCAATCCAGAGCAGACACAGATGTTAGAACTAGCAGGTAGGAAAATTAATGGTTATTATAACTGTATTCTATGTATTAAAAACTAGAGGAAAGACCAAACATATGAAGTAGAGACATGGAAGATGTTTTAAAAACTCAAACTTCTTGACATGAAAACTATAGTGTCTGAAGTAAAAAATAAATTGGATGGGATGAATAACAAGTTAGACATTGCAGAAAAAAAGACTGGTGAATTTGAAAAGACATAGCAATTTTAACTATCCAAAATGAAATACAGAGAAAATGATTTCAAAAAGGAAAATAGCAACAATAAGCTGTGGGACAACTTCAAGTGGTCTAACATATGTGTAAGTTGAATCCCAGAAGAAGGGAGAGGACAGAAAAAAATATTTAAGAAAATAATGGCTGAAGGGGCGCCTGGGTGGCTCAGTTGGTTAAGCGACTGCCTTCGGCTCAGGAAATGATCCCAGGGTCCTGGGATCGAGCCCCGCATCGGGCTCCCTGCTCGGCGGGAAGCCTGCTTCTCCCTCTCCCACTCCCCCCGCTT